AGCCATAATGATTAACGTTATTACATACTTATGAGGTTGAATGAAAATCTCCTGTTTGTAAATTTGGGCTGATTAGTGAGGGGAGTTGCTATTACACCACCAACTTTTTTCACTGTGTTGTCCTTTGCAACCGGGTAGTCATCCAAACTCATTTAAACTTAAATTAACCGCCCAAAATTTGGGTTGGTATCTACACCTTGTTGATCTGTCAAAAGTATTTTTGACCTCAAGGTTGGTTATCTTTTTGCGGTTTAGTTCGTTCCTGTTTCATTAAACGCCATTTTCTCGGCGACATTCATAGGGCTTTGATCGGTAACTTCATTTTTACTACTTTTTAAAATTTTATTAATATCACTTATAATGCTACCTAAAGTTAAAATCAAAGCTTAATATCCATTAAATAGTTGGAAGTTATCTATGATTTTCTTGGTTCTTACTCACTTATTAACATTAAATGAAATTGAATTTACTTTAGACCACATGGTCAATTGCTGTGCTAATTTTTTATAAGTTCATATATGTTGTTAGTTGCTTAACTGTTTATACAAGATCAGCGTATTATGTCCATTTACTTAGTTTCATTCACATGTTTGTTAATAACATTGACTGCTACATATCTTTTTAAGGTAACAATTAACATCGTTTCCATGATTGTGTGGTTCTCATATTGTAAAATTTTTTAGATGAACTGATGATGCTTTCAAAACTCGAAAGCGAAACGTCTTCAAAATAGATAAAGTAGCCTATCAACTTTGTCTTTTATTTCTCCACCTAGAGACCGATATAAGAACCCACCACTCGTCTGAGTGATCCTTATATATATATATATATATATATATATATATATATATATATATATATATATATATATATATATTATATATATATATATATATATATATATATATATATATATATATATACAGATTGAACCAAATTAAAACGGAACATACAATTTAATACATGTCTGTTTGAACTGCATTTAAAATAGTGGACCAATATAAAACTTGGACAAAAATAAATCCATACCTGGGTATAGACATTGTATAAAATATCGTTCAACTATCTGTCTCGCAACAAAGTTGTTTGCGTAAGACGGGTTTGTCTAAGGAGGCGATAATAGTTCAGGAAATGAAGTTCGAAAAAAGTTAAAACCTCGCAATTTTTTCGTCCTGCATGTATCCAGTTGAAATTTTAGCAGAAGGTAGGTAATAGCCCGAGGATCAAAATCTATATCGAACCGAAGTGCGCTGAAGGGTTTTAGGGGTGAAAACTACCCTAATTGTCAAAAATTATAAAATAACATATTAAACCTGAATATGGGTAAGATTTGGTTTGAATTAGTTAAATAATGATTATTTTATACTTTTGAATAGAGTTCCATCATATTTCAACCCTTAAAAAGCAACCCTTATTAGAGATTAATATAAAAAATTAGTAATGCGAAGAAAATGATTTCACCTTGGAACGATTTGCATAAAAATTTGGAATTAAGCTCAACTCACCCTCTGCTTTATAGTTTATGTCATGCCGATGAACCCTGATTGTTCTTAGGGGTGAAAACTACCCTTAATTTTCAAAAATTGTAAAATATTATTACAAATCTTAAGATGAGTGAAATTTGGTTTGGATTAGTTAAATAGTGAGTTTTTTATACTTTAAAATACAAATTTATATATTTTCAACCCTTAAAAATCAATTGTTATGAGTGCTATAGGTGAAAACAGTTTTTTGCCAAAATTTTGCAACTTTTCAACTTTTGAAAATCACCCTTTACAACATTGTAGTTTTTATAAACTAATTTATAAGATATAAATTGAAAAAAGTAGAATTAAATACAAAAAAAATTATCAACATGAAAAGGCACCATATATTCTTATACATTTACATAAATAGTTGAAAATATTTACATTTATAGGTAAAACAATTATAATATTAATTTTATTCGTCATCAATTACATCTTCATCGTGATCTATGTCATCCTCATCTTCTTCAATTATTGGTGGACTGTTATTGCACCCTTCACCTGAGCACCCAGAACAAGTAGAGTTACAGTATAAACCAACTTTTCTGCACCCACATGAAACGCCGCATCCTTTTTTGCATTGGCAAAAAATAATTTTCAAAAATTTATCGGGTGCAGGTTGTTTGTTCATGCGTACGGGTAATAACAAACCATCTTTGGAATACCATCCCCAATCTGTTGCTCTGATATTTTCATTGCCAAGCCATAGACATATGAGCAGATGTTTTATTCTGTTGTATGGGATTTCAAAATAAGAACGCTTAAAATTTCGAATGTATAACGCCCCACTAGCTAATATACCGGTTTTGTAGATTATTATGCTCCGAAATGTACTGTACTATACTAATGGAATTTTCCGGAAAAAAATTAACTGGTTTTTTTAACGTATTTCCTTTAATTTTTAACGATAGAGTGTTTCTTCAAAAACGATTTGTAGAGGTTTTTATTAGCTACAAGGATCTGTAAATTAAATCTTTTTGGAACCCTTGGTTTTTAAATGGGGTGAGTTTAAAGGGCTCGAAAAAGATGGTGCTTGATCGTAAATCGATGCTTTAAACGGCTATATCTCGCCAAATATTCATTGTACAACAAATCTAAATAAAGTGTAATTTTAGTCATTAAAAAAGCTACAATTTGGTAATTTTTATTTTTTTCATATATTCAGTATTTTCGGGCATATTTAAAAAAAGAAGGGTAAAAAATATGAAATTGTAAATCGTTTCTCGCTTTAAGCTGTACTTTTTCTAAAACTAAGCATTTTTAAATGGGTCAAACTTCTTGGACGTATTAACAATACATCTACAAAGGGAATTGCAGAAGGGTGAAGATCGATTTTAATTATGGGGGTGGTTAGGGTGTTGTTTTCCTCGATTTTTTCGTAAAAAATGAGGTATTGACCTTATTTTTTATGATAGGTCTATTTATGCTCTTTAAAAAAGGTTTTGTGAGTTTTCTTCCAAAAATGCATCATTTTCCCGATATTTGACTTTGAATCTTTCAAATTTGGCATTTGAAGAAAACCGCTGAACATTGATATTGTATTTGTAATTGTATTTGTCTTTTTAAAAGCTACAAATTTGTTCTCTACAATTTTTTTGATAAAATGCACCATTTTCGAGTTATTCGCGAAAAATCGATTAAAAACGTGGATTTTTTCGTCTAAAAGTTGTTACTTTCAATCGCGAATAACTTGAAAAATTTCATTTTATAAAAAAAATGTATAGCACATTTTTTGTTTAGAATCACTTTTCTAATCGAAACCTGTAGTTAAAACGTAAAAAAAAATTTCACCCCGGAGATGGGGTGGCAACCACCCCCTAGGCTTTGGTGCACTTTGGTTCGATATAGATTTTGATCCTTAGGCTATTACCTACCTTCTGTTAAATTTCAAGTCAATTCACGCCGCAGGAAAAAATTGCGAGGTGAAATGCTACATTTCCTGGACTATAACTGGTTTGACAGCATAATAAAATCGTAGATTTATGTGTAGCTTTCAATTTTTATGAGTTCAGAATCCAGCAGCCCACTGAAGTATGGGATTTTTTATAATATAATTATTTGACAATCTTTTGTTGGCCAACCAGCTACAGCAGAATTGAGCCGAAATACATTATATTCCTATGTTCCGAATTTATTTCGTTCAATCTGTATATATAATTCAGTTCATCTAAAAAGTACAATATGAGAACCACACAATCATGGAAGCGATGTTAATTGTTACCTTAAAAAGACATGTAGCAGTCAAAGTTATTTACAATAAGTGAATGAAACTTAAGTAAATGGACATAATACGCTGATATTGTATAAACAATCAAGTAACTAACAACATATAGGAACTTATAAAAAATTAGCACAGCAAATGACCATGTGGTCTAAAGTAAATGAAATGTTATTTAATATTAATTAGTGAAAAAGAACCAAGAAAATCATAGACAACTTCCAACTATTTAATGATTATTAAGCTTTGATTTTAACTTTAGTTAGCATTATAAGTGATATTAATAAAAATTTTAATTTAAAAAAGTAGTGTAAATGAAGTTACCGATCAAAGCCCTACAGCTGTCGCCGGAAAAATGGCGTTAGATGAACCAGAACAAACTAAACCGCAAAAAGACAGCGAACCTTGAGGTCAAAATACTTTTGACAGATCAGCAAGGTGGAGGTACCAACCCAAATAATTGGGCGGTCAATTTAAAAGTTTTAATGAGTTTGGATGGCTACCCGGTTGCAAAAGACAAACCAGTGAAAGAAATTGGTATTGTAATAGCAACTCCTCTCATTAATCAGTCTAGACTTACAAACAGGAGATTTTCATTCAACCTCATATATAAGTAATAACGTTAATCATTATGGCTAGATAATCAGCCACAGGTGGTTAACGATAAATTAATTTCCAACAGCCCAAGGTTCATCCACTTGGAACTGTAGTTTGCAAAGGATTCTATGAATCAATTACAATATTTGTATTATGTTATTTAAGTAAAAAATGTTCACGTACTTAGATTAGTGAACTCAAGATTAGATACTCAAAACTCGAAAGCGAAACGTCTTCAAAATAGATAAAGTAGCCTATCAACATTGTCTTTTATTTCTCCACCTTGAGACCGATATAAGAACCCACCACTCGTCTGAGTGATCCTTATATATATATATATATATATATATATATATATATATATATATATATATATATATATATATATATATATATACATATATATATATATATATATATATATATATATATTATATATATATATATATATATATTTATATATATATATATATATATATATATATATATATATATATATATATATGTATATATACATTGTAAGAAATTGTACTTGTAATTTGTGTTTATACCCCTGCTAATAACTCTTAGTAGTTGATGCAGGGTTATTTTTATTTAAATAAAAAAAAAATCTTAAATACACAAATATTTTAATTTTTACTGATTTTATTGTATTTTAGGTGTTTTTTGGAGTTTAGTGTTAAAGACGGAGAATATTTAGGTAAAATAATTATTGAATTATATTTTGACTTCGTTCCGGTTACTGTACAAAACTTTATGGAAATATGTGAAGGACAAAAATTGACATATAAGGATTGCTTGGTACATCGAATAGTCAGGGGTCAGTACATGGAGTCGGGAGATATTACACTTGGTACTGGTCGAGGTGGTACTTCCATATATGGTAAAACATTTTCGGAGGAAAATCATCTCTTAAAACATTCTAAAGCAGGTAAGAAAACATTTTTAAACATTAAAAAAAGCATTAAGACAAAGAAAAAACTTCAACTGGAACCATCACAAGTGATGCAAATAAAACGATGAAACGATTCCGGTCCTGGATGTAGTACTGAAAACAGCAACTATGTCGTCTCCTGAATTAATATTATTTTTCCAAAATTTTAACCAAATATTTATTTTAAAAGTATATCAGTGAAACCAGTATAGATAGTGTGCTAATTTGTGCTACGAATCATAACTGTAAGTAGCATATTTCTAAATATTAAGTATTAATCAATACTTTAACCTCAAAACTTGATATCCAAGAGTACCGATAAGAAACCACTTTTTGTTCTTACCTTCTGTTCCTACAGGCTTACGAGACAGGGCCGTCTCGAGGATTGAGTTGGTGAAGTATGCGGAATAAATTCAAAAATGGATGGAAATCCTGATGGAGAAGCTTCGGCTTCTCGCCATACCAACCAACCAAATACATATTCCAGTGAACTTACTTCTTTCAAATATCCGACCAAAGAGCAAGCTGTTGTTCTCTCTAGTATCAATGACGTGTCGTGTATCCCTTACTGCAAGCACATAATTTACTAATATTGAATAATACAAAAATTGACATTAGAAGAGTCACAAGACTCGTCATTTCTAATGTCTGCCCTGCCGTCCCAAACACTTTAATAGAAGATGAACTGAAAAAGCTGGGACTTCAAACAGTATCTAGAATAACTTTTTTGAAAGTGGGAATGCCGGATACTGCATACAGCCATGTTTTAAGCTTTCGCCGCCAAGTGTTTGTTACTCCTGATGATACTATCCTTATTCCAAACTTTGTTACAATTTACTATGACAACACCAACTACCGTATATACTTTACCCTTGACAACTTAAATTGCACTAAGTGTGCAACAAAAGGACATCGATAAACTGATTGTCCATCAACATGTCAACAAACAACGCTTAACATCATCAGCCCATATCAACTATAGAATGTAATTCCACAACAACCTCCCTTTAATGGATACCGACCACACTAACGTTCAAATTCTTAACACTGAAACCTTAGTATCTGATCAACCTTCATTAGAAAAACACACTTTGTCCACAGAAAAAAACCAATGAAACAAATTTTCCTCCATTAAATACCGAAGTACCCCCCCCCACACACACAACCAAAAGACAGATATCTACCTCACCTGATATACAAGAAACATCAACTGCCACAACTCCTTTTGCAAAACCTAAACACATATTGAAACGCCAAAAAGCCTCACCCTCTGATATTATTAAAGAGTTACAGATCATTAAAAATAAATTTGAGTCTAGGTCCCCAAAATTTCCTCTTGATTTTAATGTTATTTGTGATGCGATACAAAATGCCTTAAACTCAAAAAACCCTAACTCCATTGTAGAAAACTACACAACGGATATGATATCATTTAAAGATATTCTATTATTTGCACATGATCATATTTTAGACCGCGGTATAAAATCCAAATTAACAAGGTTAAGAAAAAGATTACAACTCAATATCACTGATTCCTCATCGGATATAGAAAGTGATATCTCTGTTTCTCAGTCAGGTACCCAAAATGGCTAATACATTTATTTTACAATGGAACCTAAACGGATATTACAACAATGTAGAATCTCTTAATATTTTAATGAAAGAATTGTCTCCCCTAGTAATCTGTTTACAGGAAACACATCTTAAAACTAAAAACTTACATATTAAAAACTATACTAACTTTCTCAAAAATCGCGACACAGAACACGCCAGCGGCGGAGTAGGTATTTTCGTAAAAAATTGTATAGAAGCAAGAAAAATTCACCTAAACACTAATTTGGAAGCCGTTGCTGTATCTATATCATGCAATATCAACTGCAGACCTATTAACATATGTAACATTTACCTCCCTCATCCAAATGAAAATGTACTTGAAGACTTACAGCGCTTAATCGATGATATTCCTGCTCCCAAACTAATACTTGGTGACTTGAATTGTCATAATATCACATGGGGTAGTATAAAAACAGACAAATGTGGTAGACTTCTTCAGAAATTAATAGATAATCAAAATCTAATATTAATGAATACTGGTAAATCTACTCATTTTAGCTCCCACAATAGTACTTTTTCTGCCATCGATATTTCGTTGTGTGATCACTCATTAGCTACAAGTTTTTCTTGGAATAGTCTTGATTATCTATATAATAGCGATCATTTTCCTCTAACAATTAAAACCATTGGGCATGATCAACCGAATATTCCTGTTTACCAAAAATGGAAATTAAACTCAGCAAACTGGGACTTATATAGAGATCTAATAAATAATTATCTTACGAACTTTATTCTAGAAGATAGCATAGATTCATCTCTTCATCATTTCAATGATACTGTACTAAAATGCGCTAATATTGCAGTGGGAAAAACAAAACCTTGTAAACGAAAACCAGTACCATGGTGGAATGAAGAAATAGCCTTAGCTATGAAATCTAGCAAACATGCTTTCAATGTTTTAAAAAGACATAAAACAACAGAAAATGTTAACAATTTTAAAAAACTTAGGGCAAAAACTAAATATCTTATTAAGAAAAGTAAAAAAGAAACATGGTCAAATTATGTCTCTACCATAAATTCATCAACACCTATGACTACAATCTGGAATAAAGTACGTACACTAAAAGGTGAACAAAACTCAATTCACATAACACTCTTTCTTATAAAAACAAATTAATATCTTCCAAACAAGAAATTAGTAATATTATGTCAGATGTGTAAGACAAATTTAAGCAATGCAAACTTCAATTCCGCATTTTTAGATTTCAAAAATAAACGTGAAATGACAGAAATATCTATAGTAGATAGTGATTATCCACTTAATTTTCCCATCACATATCAAGAATTTGAAGAAGCTCTAGATAAATCAAAAAACACTTCATCGGGTCCTGATAATATACCAATCATATTTATCAAAAACTTGCCGTACACAGGAAAATTAATTCTCTTAGACATTTTCAATCACATTTACCTTAATAAAAAATGTCCTTCAATCTGGTCTGAATCAACAATTATTCCCATTTTAAAACCTTTCAAATCAAAAACTGACCCTCTTTCCTATAGACCAATTTCTCTTACAAATAATACATGCAAACTACTAGAAAAAATTTTAACAGATTAATATGGTTTCTTGAAAAAGAAAAAAGATATTAAGCCAAGAAATGGCAGATCAACTCATGATGCCTTAGCTATTGACAATATTATATGTAAGTTCTTTAGAAATAACCAGAAAGTAATTGCCATATTTTTTGATATAAATAAAGCATTAGATACTGCATCGAGATACAACATTTTACAAACCATATCTGGGGTATCTAGGGAAATTTTCTTACTTTTGTAAAACATTTCATGAATAATAGAGTATTCAAGTACGTGTGAATGGAATTACTTCAAAAACAGAATGTCTTAAAAATGGTATTCCACAGGGCTCAACCCACTCTATTTTTAATAGCAATTAATAATGACTTAGTTGTATATACTAGTAGCTACAATATTACACTAGCCTAAAAAATTTGCAATCATTTCCGGACAAACTAGAAGACTGGTCGCAAAAAACTGGTTTTACGTTCTCAGGTGATAAATCTCGTTTCATCGTATTTAATAAAAAAAAACTGATTGCAAAACAACACTTACTCTAAGTGGTATCAACCTAAAACAAATAGAGAACATTGACTTTCTTGGCCTGAGACTGCACAGTCAGTTAACATGGGCAGAATATATTAAAAAGCTAGTCGTAACCTGCCAATCTAAAATAAATCTCCTTAAAATACTATCAAACCGATCTTGGTGAGCGGACACCATAAAATTGCTGCGTATATACCAATCATTAATCTGAAGTAAACTGGATTATGGTGCAATATGCTATTTAACTGCTAGTAATTATATTCTTAAAAATCTAGACATTATACATAACATATGTTTAAGACTTATTTTGGGTGCTTATCGAACTAGTCCTGTTTCAAGTATTCAGGTTATTTTAGATGAATCCTCTCTATCAATACGAAGGTCTTTTTTATGGTGCCCTATCCAATTAGTGGATGTTGGCGACAATTCTGGAATACTCCTCTCGATCTTGTGTGGCTCTAAAAAGTGCATGGACATCGAGATTTGTCCAATCCCTTATGTTTTTAAGCCATGAGTATTTCTTTCTTACGATGCCTCGTTTTCCTTCTATCTTCCCTTCCATAATAAGCTTTAAGAACTGGTACTTGGAATTTCGAAATATATGACCCAAATAAGCAGTTTTTCTTCTTTTTATTATTGGCAGCAATTCTCGTTCTCTGCCCATTCGATTTAATACTTCGACATTTGTTGTGTGATCTGTCCAGGGAATTTTAAGTAGTCTTCTAAATACCCACATTTCAAAGCCTCCAATCGGTTCATCACATTGGCCTTTATGGTCCAGGTTTCTACACCATATAGCAGTATGGAGTAAATGTAACATTTTACAAAGCGATATCGAAGCATTAAGTTGAGGCTGCTGTTGCTTAGCAAGGTTCTCATATTAGTAAATGCTGTTCTGGCTTGCTCAATCCTGCTACGTATCTCTATGTCTGGATCTAGATCTTCAGTTATCCAACTACCGAGATATCTGAACTTGGGGACCTTTTGGATGTTCTTGTTGTTTACTCTTATATTCAATTGCATATTTCGTGTTCTACTAACCACCATTACGTTCGTCTTGTCTATATTAATCTTCAAGCCCACTCGTTCTCCTTCAGTTTATTCTATCTATTAGTCGTTGTAGCGCTTCTTGGCTATCAGCTATTATGACTGTATCATCAGCATAGCTAAGAATACTAATAGTCTGTCCGTTGATTTTGGTTCCATCGTCAGTGTCACTTAAGGCTCTATCGAAAATCGTTTCAGAGTAAAGATTAACAAGGAGGGGTGACAGAACACAACCCTGTCGTACACCTTTTTCGATTGAGAAATATGATGTA